AACACAAGTAAATAACCTGAGTGATCTCTCCCCCCAGCTCAGGGGACTTAATAAATCAATGGTTTGGATCATGAGTCTCTTGGTAGAAAAATGTGTCACTGATTTTTGAAAGCATTGTTTTGTTTTTAAGATTTTTTAAATGTTTTTATTTATTTTGAGATAGGGAGTGAGCGCGAGTGGGGCAGGGGAAGAGAGAGAAAGAGAGAATCCCAAGCGGGCTCCACACTGTCGATGCAGACCCTGAAGAGGGGCTCGATCTCACAAACCACGGGATCATGACCTGAGCTGAAATCAAGAATCAGGTGCCTAACCGACTGAGCCACCCAAGCACCCTGGAATCATTGTCTTAATCTATGTTTTCTCTTACGTGTGCCTGGATTATTGCTATAGCATCTGCCTCCAATGCAGCCAGCTGGCCACCAAAGGAGCTGCCTCCATACTGGTGAAACTCTTTGTTGGCTGCTCAGGGCGCATTGTGGAAGAGGGGGGCACATGAGATTGTAAGAGCCAGTCATGAAGGGTGGAGTTTTGGGGAAGGTCATCAAAAAGACATGACCTCCAATTGGCCCTGTGAGTTGGATTGGCAATTAGAGTTTCCTCATTCCTTCCCCAGTCCTTCAAATGTGGGTTCTGCTTGGCTTTCCTGCTTCCAAGAGCTGCTCCAAGGACATAGCCTTGAGATAGTGATGTGGTGATGAAAACACCTACACTACGTACATGGTTGAGCCTAGTTAAGTCCCCTGCATAAATTTTTAACATTGGGAGGGTGGGTGGGAAATTAACCAGTCTGGCTGCCACCCGAGACAAGGGTTGTATGTAAGTTTCCTTTGCTTATCGAACCTGCCACCTATTGACCTAGAATGGCCTGCCTCTTTCTTTGGTCTCCCCTTGCCCTCTGACGGGTGTGGGGGCAACTTCAGATTTCATCCAGGAGGCTCCCAAGAAGGGTACCAGACAACAGAAATTAAAGGGAAATTAGGAAGCAATTTCCTTTTGAACTGAGAGAATGGGGGGGGG